TTTCCCTAACTCTTCCCTGAGTCTATACTGTCTCCACTTTTTTTTTACACTATCTTCTCCTAGGCTAGATCAGTAAGCTCCCTCTCTACTCTGCCATCTTGGAACTGCCACCCCATTGCTAACTTTGAAGATGGAAGTTCCTGTTTGTTCTAGGTGAGATAAGCCAGCTAATGGGACAAACAAGATGTCTAGAGTGGCAAATCTCGAACACTCAGCATTTCTCAGATACCTTGTAGGCATGCAAAACACATATTGGAACTTTCAATTCAGTAGGTCTGAGTGAGGCAAAAATATTTGCACTTCCAGCCAGTTCTGAGGCAGTGCTTATGCTGCTTCTCCAGGTCCTTACCCTGTGTACTACTGCTATTAAGGGTGATAAACTGGAGTCAGAAATATGGCCAAAATTATATTCAGATAATCTTTGCAATATCTGCTGAGGCAAATTGGTTGTCACAGTGAGCATTTTTGCTTGTAGTACCCTTTGGATATAAAGAAATGTTAGTGGTTAAAGATTTGACTGTGGTGACTTATAAAATATCAAAACTAGACATTTCCAAATGATTAAGGTACATATGTATGTTTTGCATATTTAAAATGAGCTTAATTTTTACATAAGTGGTTCTTTTGAAATCTAAGAATTTATGTTCCTCATATTTGTGTGATGAAAATAAACACTGTTAATATCTTGAATTTATTTTTTATGCTGACAAGAAAACAAAGAAGTACAGTGCTTATTATATGGCACCAATAATAGACAGAATTTTACTTCATTATGTTCAGAAAATTTGGCTTTAAAGATGTTAGATAATCTCTGTAAATCCATAAACGTGAATAAACATCTGTGCAGTCAGGATTATAAACCTTCACATTAGACTCTACAAATAGTGGTTTACTATCTCCCCAAAATAGGTCATAGCTCTATAAAGTAGAATTAGATATATTTTCATTCTTAGATGAATCCAGCAGTTTATTCAAGAAAAAAGAGGAAGTTTATTCAAATAGACAATCCATTAACTTCTGTTTCTGGTTCATTTTGAAACCATTTAAAATTTATATGAAAATTAAACTTTTATAATTGCTTCACTTAATACCCTACCTATGAGAGAAGATCAAGGAATATGACATTTTTATTTCTGTGATATTTTTGTGATATATTCTGGTTTTAGAAAAAGTAGTTTAAAATTCTAGGTTTTTGAAAAAGATTGATCTATTCACTTGAAAGGTGGAGTTATAGAGAGGGAGAGGCAGAGGCAGAGGCAGAGGCAGAGTGAGCAAAATCTTCTTCTATCTGCTGGTTCACTCCCTAAATAGACCACAACTGCCAGGGCTAGGCTAGGCTGAAGCCAAGAGCCAGGAGCTTCATCTGGGTCTCCAGATGCATGATGGGCAGGGTCCCAATTACTTGGGCCATCTTGCACTGCTTTCCCAAGTGCATCAGCGGGGAGCTGAGTCAGCAGTGGAGCAACATGGATATGGGGTGCCAACACTGCAGACAATGGTTTAACCTGCTATGCCACAGTGCTGGCCCTAAGATTTTAAAATTTTAAAAATCAGGGATTTTTTTAAAAATATTTATTTGAGAGGCAGGAAAAACAGAACAAGAGAGAGACACAGAGACAGAACAATTATTATATGTGATACATGATCTGTGTTTGTGGAAAATTTTATTTTATTCATTTTTTTTATTTTATTTCATTTCATTCCAATCAATAAAGCTTGATGTGTTTGCAAAGCATCTTTGAAATACCTATTCATTTTCACTTAACTTTAATCAGGATATGAACATATATTAAATATTTGTAATAGCATTTTGGCTGACAAACCACATGTTGCTTTAAACATCATTGTTAAAAGCCTGCAGGCTTTTCTTCCCATGATTGTATTATGCAAAATGTCTATGTAAACCATGTACCTTATGGACCACACCAGAGAAAATTCATTTAATATGTTACAAAAAGATGTAGTCTTTTCTTTAATTAGAATTTTAATGCCAACAAATTTAATCACATTAACTACTGCATCCCAAGTTATCCAAAAATTATTAACTACAATGCTTGAATTTAATTTTATAATCCCTTTTAACCTGGCAATGATAATCATTCTTCCCCCATGTCTAGTGATAAATATAGAATGGCATGAATTTGAATACTATTTATTATTTCCATCCAAAAATTAATTGTTTTGAACACATTTTAGTTTATTTTAAAATAACCTAAAAGTCAAGATCTTAACCATGTGATGTTTTTACCTGCACGCATTTGTCAGTGATCTGAAATAAGGACAAGATAAATACACACACACATATAGAGCCAGCAAAAATTGTTAATTTGCAATTATTTTAAACTTTCATCTAATTCTATTGAAAATTGTAATTATTTTTAATTTAGATGTCAATTTCCTGCTGATAAAAGCAGGAATTTTGTCTTATTTACTTTTTGGATTCCCAGTAGTATTTTTTTTTTATTTTTAACGTCAATTACTTAATAATTATTGACAACTTTTGTTAGCTAATGACATTGTTTGTAACTAATTATAATAGCAAAATGAATATACATTCATTATTATGCTTTGTAGTAAAATATACTAAAATTCAACTTAAGAGTTTGTAGTTTGTTAGGCACTTCTAAAAGTCCTTGCCACTTCATGAAATTTTTCTTAGCTTTATCTTAAACATTGTAATTTTGCTTGTCATATTTGGTCCCCACATGGGACTTATTTTCATGTATTATGTGAGATAGTGATAATGATAAAAACCTATTTTTAAATAAAGTGTCCCAAATTTCCCCCAAATAATCTATCACATTGCATTATTTTCACACTTAGTTGTGATGAATATTCTCTAGATTCACAGAGTTTTGAACTATGCTTAGTCTATTTCCTGCAACAGTTCCAAATTGCTTTAGTTGTAATGGCTTTAGATACTTTAATATCTGTCAGAGTATATATTCCTTGTTTTCTCTTATGTGGGTTCTATAAATGTCTTTAGTTTATTGTAAGCATTTATTTATCACTAGATAGTTTAGGATCCTTTGTAAAATTTCACATTTTGGTTTGTATTGTTTCAAATTTTTAAATTATTTTAAGACAAAGGCATCTTTACAATATTGATGTTTTCATTACTGTGTTAACATGATACATGCCTTATTTTGTGTATGCATTTTTATGTTCTTTTTGATAGGGTTTTAAAATGTTGGATAGGCCAGTGGCACAACTCACTAGGCTAATCCTCCACCTGCGGGCTGGCACTCTGGGTTCTAGTCCCAGTCAGGGCACTGGATTCTGTCCCAGTTGCTCCTCTTCCAGTCCAGCTCTCTACTGTGGCCCAGGAGTGCAGTGGAGGATGGCCTAAGTGCTTGGGCCCTGCACCCGCATGGGAGACCAGGAGGATGAATTTTCTGATGTTTTGTTGGATTCATAGTTAATATTTTATTGAGGATTTTTGCATCTATATTCTTTAGGGATATTGGTCTATAGTTCTCTTTTTCTGTTGCACCTTTTCCAGGTTTAGGTATTAAGGTAATGCTGGCTTTGTAGAAGGAGTTTGGGAGCATTCTCTCCTTTTAAATTGGTTTGATAACTTGAGAAGAATTAAAATTATTTCTTTAAATGTCTGGTAGAATTCAACAGTGAAGCCATCCAGTCCTGTTGGGAGGGTCTTTGTTACTGATTCAATCTCTGTCAAGGTTATTGGTATGTTTAGCTTTTCTATGTCATCATAACTTAATTTTGGAAGATTCTTTCTAAGAATCTATCCATTTCTTCTAGGTTTCCTAGTTTGTTGGCATACAGCTCTTTGTAATAATTTCTTATGATTCTTTTTATTTCTGAGGTATTTGTTGTTACATTTACTTTTTCATCTCTGATGTTACTGATTTGGGTCATTTCACTTTTTTTTGATTAGTTGCACCAATGGTGTATCAAATTTTTTTTAGAAAATCAACTTTTCATTTCATTGATTTTTTTTCTAATTTGGGTTTCAACTTTGTTTATTTCTTCTCTAATTTAATTATTTCTTTCCTTCTATTAATTTTGGGTTTGTTTTGTTATTGATACTCTAGGCCTTTGAAATTCATTGATAGCTCATTTATTTGGTACTTTTCCAGCTTCTTCATGTGGGCACCGACTGCTATGAATTTCCCTCATTTTTTTAAAGATTTATTTATTTATTTGAAAGTCATGTACCGATGCCAGTGCACTTGGTAAAGTGATAAGTATAAGTACACAACCGATCAAAAAGACAGGATAAGTGTTGAAGAGTTTTTACAAACAAGACCAATGTAAGCAAATAATGAAGGATAGAATTAAAAGGGAGAGAATGATCCTGTGGGGGAAGCAGGACACACAGCAGACTCATAGAATGGCAAATGCCCAAAACAGCACTCTGGCCTCAGAATCAACCCTTGGGGCATTCAGATCTGGCTTAAAGGCCCATGAGAGTCTCACAGGCATGGAAAGCCACAACACGGTGGCAAAAACAATCTAAATGAAAGATCCTGGTGAACAAGACCCCAGTGGAAGGAACAGGCCATCAAGGAGGGAGGCACCTTTCTCCAAAGGGAGGAAGGAACCTCCACTGTGATATGGCCTTGACTAAACAAGTTCAGAGTTGGTGAACTCAAGGGGCTTCCATAGCCTAGAAAGCTCATGGAAAGAGCCTCAGGTGATTGCTGATGCCATAAATAAGAGTGCCAATTGACAAATCAACAATGGGAGTCACTGGGTACAGGCTCCCCATGTGGGATCTGTCTTTAATGTGTTTTACTATGAAACTTAAAAACAACACTACTAGTCGAACAATACCCTATACCTTGTATGGTTGTGTGAGTGCAGCCTGTTGAAATCCTGGCTTAGTGTATACTAAGTTGATCTTCTGTATATGAAGGTGATTGAAAATGAAACTCGATGAAGGGCGGGATGGGGGGGGCATGGGAGGGAGGGAGGTTGGGGGGGGAGCCACAACAATACGAAAGTTGCACTAGTCAGGCAAAGCAAGGTCTAAACCCTAGCTTTTTCTACAGACTGGAAAATATTTAAATTCCTTATGCTTTGGTTTTCTCATCTGAAAAATGGAGATATAGTATTTCCTTGATTTTAAGAGGTATTTTCCATCCACCTGCCCCCCATATTTTAACTTTGCTGCAATTAGCATCACTATTGCCTGTCACACCTACATTTAATGTGATGGGGTTTTCTTGTGCTTTTTTTACCTAAAATGCTGAATTTTTATTGACAGTGTCACTCCTCCGCGGGTGGAGGAGCGTCACCGGACCGGACGCTGTTATTTAAGCAAATGACTCTGCGTTGTGCGCTCAAGTTTGCTCCTGTGCTAACAGCATTCTAACCACATTCTACTTGGTGTGTGTTCGCATTCTTGTTATTCTTTCGGCACATGGTGTGAGATGTCTGCGGCGCCTCGTGGCGCATAAGCGAATTCCCCCGCGCCGCTTCTATCTCACCTTTATAGTCCTCTCTCACCAATCCGTGCTCTGCTGCCCACATGCTGAGCACGCTGTTCTCCTCCAATCAGAGGTTGGATCAGGAATCAGCTAATTGACGAAGCAGCTGTGTAAGATTTGTTTACTCCCTCTCAGCGCCATATGGTGGGAGATCAGGCACATAGAGTTAGTCTCAATAGTCTAGTCTAGTCTTGATAGTCTCAGTACTTATTTCACCATGTTGCGGGAGACGGGCCCTGCTCCCCACAGGGCCCTGCTCCCCACAGACAGTATATCTTGCCATCAGTAGTATTTTAGAATCAAAGAAATACAATAACAATGCCAACCTCAGCATTGTTGTGAATATGAAATTGCATATCAAGACCATTTAGCAAAATGTCTTGAAAATAGCAACTATCCAAAAGAATGGCATATATTAAATTTTTTTTTTAAGATCTAATGCACTCTTAGGATTAAAAAAATAAAAAAAGAAAGTCAAAGTTACATAGAGAGAAGGAGAGGCAGAGAGAGAGAGAGGTCTTCCAGCTGCTGGTTTACTCCCCAATTGGCCACAATGATCAGAGCTGCGCCAATCTGAAGCCAGGAGCCTAGAGCTTCTTCCAGGCTTCCCATGTGGGTGCAGGGGCCCAAGGTCTTGGGCCATCTTCTACTGCTTTACCAGGCCATAGCATGTGATGGAATGAGAAGGCCATGTCAAGATGGCTGCTGGCAAGCCAACATCAGTTACTCAGGAATGGCTTCAGAAACCACCTGGGAAACCACCTAGCAACAGAGCCTGCCTGGCAACAGGCTGTGATTGGTTAGGGCATAAACTGCCCCTTGATTGGATTGGTTGCCTCTGCTATATAAGCTGCTGCACCAACTGAAATAAACGAGTCTATGGGCTGCTCACCTCTAGCCCACTTTCACCTACTCCTGGTGGCTGTGGGATGACTCCGCGCCTCTTGTCCCCACAGCACTCCTCTCAGAACGAATCTACAGCAACAATAGCAGAGAGCTGGATTGAAAGTGGAGCAGCCGAGACTCGAACCCATGCCCATATGAGATGCCAGCACTGCAGGCTACAGCTTTACCTGTTCTGTCACAGCGCCAGCCCTGAATTTCCCTCTTACCACTGCTTTTGTGTATCCCATAGGTTTTGATATGATGTATTGTCATCTTCATTTTCAGAAATCTTTCATTTCTTCTATGATCCACTATTCATTCAGGAGCATGTTGCTCAGTCTCCATGTGTTTATGTATGTTCTACAGATTCTTGACTTGCTGATTTCTAACTTTATTCCATTGTGGTCTGAGAAGATGCATGGAATGATTTCAGTTTTTTGAATTTGCTGAGAATTGCTTTGTGGCCTAGCATATGGTCTATGCTAGAGAACGTTCCATGTACTGATGAGAAGAATGTGTATTATGCCAGTGTTGGGTGAAAGGTTCTATAGATATCTGTTAGGTCCTTTTGGTCTATAGAGTTGATTAACTCTGTTGTTTCTTGTTGATTTTCTGTCTGGTTACTCTGTCCATTGCTGAAAGTGTGGTATTGAAGTCCTCTATTACTACTGTATTGAAGTCTATTTCTCCCTTTAGGTCTATTAACATTATTAACATTTTTTAAGTAGCCAGGTGCCCTGTAATTGGGTGCATATATATTTATTATAGTTACATTTTCCTGTTGGATTGATCCCTTAATCATTACATAGTACCTTCTTCATCTCTTTTAACAGCTGTTATGTTAAGGCCTATTTTGTCTGATATTTTGATGGCAACGCCAGCTCTTTTTTTTGGTTTCTGTTAGTGGGGACTATCGTTTTCAGTCTGTGTGCATCTTTGTTGGTGAGATGTTTTTCTTATAAGCAGCTAATAGTTGGGTCTTATTTTTCAATCCATTCAGACAGTCTGTATCTTAACTATAGAATTAAAACCATTTACATTCAAGGTGACTATTGGTAAGTAAGACTTGGCTCTGCCATTTTCCATAAATATTCCTATTGTTTACTTTGGATTTCTTATGTATTTCTGCCTTCTCATTCTTTCATAATGATGGCCATCTTCCCACTGAGCTCTGAGGCATTGGTGCTACAGGACCATTCCCTGTACTTATAGCTCTGGATCACAACAGCACACTATAGTCCCTGGCCTAATATCTGCACGTCACTGCTGTCAGTGCTGTGCTCAGTGCTGTCTTATTTCAGTGAGCTGTTATGTTCATGCCTGCAGCCTTCAATAGTCGTAGTCCTATTTTAAAATGGTGCCAGCCTTCTCTCAGCTGGATTGTGGGTTCACACAAGTTCAAGCCATTTCTACCCCTCCCATGGGGCTTCCTGGGTGGTTTTCTCTCCACTTCTTTGCCAAGTGTGTACCTCCTACACCATATTCTCCACACTATTTCTTCCTAGCATTGTGAACTGTGCTGTTCCCTACTCTGCCATTTTTCCTGATCCCCAAATTGTTTATTTATTTATTTATTTATTTGTTTGACAGATAGAGTTAGACAGTGAGAGAGAGAGAGAGACAGAGAGAAAGATCTTCCCTCTATTGGTTCACTCCCCCAATGACCACTATGGCCGGAACTACACCTGTCCACAACCAGCAGCCAGGTGCTTCCCTCTGGTCTCCCATGCAGGTGCAGGGGCCCAAGCACTTGAGCCATCCTCCATTGCTCTCCCAGGCAACAGCACAGAGCTTGACTGGATGAGGAGCAACCGGGACTGGAACCGATGCCCATATGGGATGCTGGTGCTGCAGGCGGAGGATTAACCAAGTGAGCCATGGCGCCGGCCCCATCAAAGTGTTTTGTTTGTTTTTTTTTAAGATTTATTTATTCAAGAGGTAGAGTTACAGACAGAGAGAGGGAGAGACAGAGAGAAAGGACTTCTATGTGCTGGTTTGCTCCCCAAATGGCCACAACGGCTAGAGCTGAGCCGACCTGAAGCTAGTATCTAGGAACTTCTTCTGGGTCTCCCAAATGGGTTCAGGGGCCCAAACACTTGGGTCATTTTCCACTGCTTTCCCAGGCCATCAGCAAAGAGCTGAAATCAGAAGTGGAGCAGTAGCCATATGGGATGCTGGCACCACAGGTGGTGGCTTTACCCACTATGCTATAGCGCTGACCCCTTGAAGTGTTTTCTTTATGTTTTCTTCTTGTAGTTTCATAGTTTCAAGTCTTACATCTAAATATTTGCTCCATTTTGAGTTGATTTTCTGTATACCTTGAGAGGGTAGGGTCTTTAGTCAAATATCTGTATATGGATATTCAGTTTTATCAGCATCATTTTTTGAAGAGAATACTCTTTTTTCTATAGCTTTTTTAAAGCAACTTTGTCAAAGATAAGCTGACTGTAGGTGTGTGGATTTCTTTTTTTGGGTTTCTGTTTTGATTTAAAGGTACTCACTCTATGGTTTATGAATACAAAATGGACCTCAGAAATACAAGTAAATGGTACTTAGGAACCTACTATGATGATTTAGCTAAGAAATGAGGACTGTGAAATTTGTTAGTTGCCATGGTTATAACAAAAAGTAGTTGGAGTTCCAGATAAATGAGTCAGTCTAGTGACACCACATATACAAGAGATGATTACCTTATTGAATCTCCTAGGTTGATCAACTGGAGATCCATAGACACGCTAGCATAACTCTAAACACTGACTTCTTCCAGTTCCCTGGGGACCCCTGTCTGCCTTGATTAGTTCCTTTAGTAGGAACAGTGCCAGACTGAGATGTTTCTAGGTCCTTTCTCAATCCGCTGAGGTTCTGCTCTACCTGATTTCCTGTTGTCATTCCAGCCATTAAGGACCAAATGTCTAGTATTTAAAGCTATATATTGATAAATGTGGACCAAAAGAGATGGTAGGTCTGTTGTGACTTTCAATAATGGTTCATTTATTTGAATCTAGAAGTCAGTTTTAATTTTTTATGTTTAATTAAATTGGTATGCTATAATTTAAATACACTTGTAAGAATTACATTGCACTTTCGAGCCTGTTACAAGGAAAAAGTGTTAAAGGAAACTTGTCTTTTCATCACAGAACTATACATTTTTTCTCTCTTGAAAATTGTGTGATCAAGTTCATTAAGTAGTGTATGTGAGAAGAATAAACGTGCTAATTATATTTATAATGAAAATAATAATACAAAATGTGTTGATGTCACATTGATTAATAAGAAATCTAAGAAGGGTCTGTGCTTTGCTTATTATAGCAGTCTTTTTAATTTGCACCAACATTTTAATTTTCACTTGTAATCTATTGAGGAAAACATTTTAATGATGTAAATTTAGATAGACACAAAAAGGAGGTAGGGAATATTGTACTTTTTATATTTGAGAATAATTACTGTAGGATCTATGTATTTTAATAAAGGAAATTACTAATTGATTAAAAAAATGGCCAAAATATTTCTTCACAGTCATATTAGTGTCTAATGATATATATTTTCCTAGCATAACCACCTTTGAAAGACATTTTCTCCATAAATTATTAATATTTCACAAAAAAGATACAAACATTGCAAATACCAGATTCCATCAAAATCTCTGTGAGACTTTTTATATCAGAAATTGACAAGATGATAAAATATTTGAGAAGGAAATGTGAAGGACCTAAAAATGGGAGAATAATATGATAAAGAGAAATGAAATTGAAAGATATACCTACCTGATTTTAAGCTTTGCCATCCAGGGGCCGATGTGGTATAGAGGGTAAAGCTGCCACCTGCAATGCAGGCATCCCATATGGGTGCTGGTTCCTGTCCCAGATGCTCAACTTCCTACTCAGCTCTCTGCTAGTGGCCTGGGAAAGCAACAGAAGATGGCCACCCTTATGAGAGTTCTGGATGAAGTTCTTGTCTCTGGATTGAGGCTGACTCAGCGCTGGCCTTTGCAGCCATCTGAGATGTAAACTAGCAGATGGAAGATATATATATATATCTGTCTCTCCATCTCTTTCTGTAACTCAGACTTTTAAAATAAATTAATAAATCTTTTTTAAAAATTATATTTTCTCTTTGTGTTTCTGTCTTTCTTTGTCAATCTGTGTTTGAAATAGCTAAATAAATGACTTTGTTTTAAAAAAAGACTATCATTGTTTTCACTGATTTTCCTTATCACCTTTGTTAAAATTGTATTGGCTATATATATACATGTAAGCTTGTTTCTGAATTCTCTATTTTGTGCCACCAATCTATGCTCATATATCTATAATTCAGTAATAAGCTTGATGACAAAACTTTTTTTAAAGATTTATTTATTTTTCTTATATATCGTCTCAGTGCTATGACTAAGTTCAACAGGCACATTTTCCATTTTTAACGCACTGCACTTCAGTATGTATAATGTTTTTGCAATGAAATAACAAGCCTCTTCTAGTTTTCAAAGAGATTTTTTTCACTCTCTGATGGACTCACCTGCAGCACACTTGAGGTCCCAAATTCCACACAGTCTGTTGAAGGTACTTTCATTTTCTCCTTTCTCCCCTCAAGACGCTCTGCTCAAATTCAAAGCCATTTTCATATTTTAGGATTTTATATTGACAATCCCCATAATCAGACACAAAATAAATTATGTGAGTAATGATCTTCTGCTTAATAATTACTCTAAAACTTAGTGGCTGAAAACAGAAAACATTTATAATCTCAATTTCTGGGTGTCAAGAAACCAGGAGCAGCTATACCAGATATTTTTGCCTTTGGCATCAAAGTGTTAGCTGTGACTGCAGTCAATTCATGTTTCAACTAAGGTAGGATTCACTTCCCAGCTTATACTCATAGTCTTGGCATGCCTGAATCCAGCTCTGAATCCAGGTGTAGTGATTTGAACCACCTCACAACATATCAGTGGATGCCTGTCATGTCTGCTGATTCGCCTCAGATAGCAATACAGGAGGCAGAGGAAGGGAGGGAGGCAGGAAGGCAGAGAGAGAGACAGAGAGAGACACAGAGAGAGAGAGGAACAAGACCACAGACCACAGTCTTTTTATGATCTGATATCAAAGGTGACATTTCTTAGCTTCTGCCATATTCATTTCAGCAGAGGTGTCTCAGTAAGTCCAGTCTGTATTCAAGGGAGAGTATTACCCAAGGGCTTACATGCAAGCAGGCAGGGTTCCCTGGAAATGGAGGCAGCTTGGGGAAACAATAGTGCCTTCAATGGGGTATATATCAATAATTTTGTATTATTTGGAATTGTCCATAATATTGAGCTAAATGTTGTGCTCAATCTCAAGGTTTTTACAGAATATATAATGTATGTTTTAAAAGAAAAACTGCACAACTTTAATGGATGAGTACTTACACAATGTAACTTTCAATTTATGATGTAACCGATTGTTTATTAGATGTAGATGAAAATACTCTGTGAAACTTGTGGCCTATGTATGTATATGTACTGTGAAAAAGATTACTACTTAAAACTTTGTAATTTTGTTAAAAGTGGGTTTTAAAAATTGATTTCAGTGTAGTATTTATGTAGGATTTGGCTTATGCTCTCATGCTGCTACATCTCTTTTACATTCTGTCTTTATAATATTTATATTTATACACTAAAGAAATCTTTAAATATAAGAAATGAGAACACTCCATCTTCTATTCAGAGAAAACATCATGTATCACTCACGGTTTGGCCAAAAACAAAACAGGAAAGATTTAAAAGGAATTGTTATTATTGATGAAGTCTAAAAGAGGATTAAAGGGATACTGAGGGAACTAGAGGTTGAAGCTGTCCAGAGGTCCCTACCCCCTTGGGTGGGGAAACCAAAGGGGAGCGGTGGTGTTACTTGTCCTGGGGAAGGGGACATGATGCAGCTGGTGCTCGACCTTGGTGAGGAGCTGTAGTTTGTGCTGAGTGTAGGGTACAGGTGTAGACAACTTGATGCGTCTGAGTCTCTAACTCCTGGATGCATGCTTCTGGCCTGTTACTCACATCCCAGTAGGAGTGACACATACCAGCTGAGTGTGTCAAAAGAAACTGGATTCTGCACCTCGCTGTCCTAACCAGAGAGCCATCCCCAGACCAAGGACCTGGAAGCTCTTCTTAGCTCCAGTCTTCTAATCTTCCCAATGACAAGTACCAGAGGACACAAATCTCCACTGGCAAAGGAGCTGCTGCAAATGCTAAAGATAAGTAAATGCTCTCTTGTTGTAATACTTTCAAGATATTAAAGTTCTGAGTACACTGAAAGTCCTGTAAGCTCTTAAAAATATCACATATTTGATATTATAGGTTGATATTAAGAGTATTGATCCAAGTAGACACTGGTGCAAGATTGTTCTATGTTCTGAGAAAGAGACGGGCTGCAAGGAATCTACTAGGTGGTAACTAGCATTCATCATGGGAAGAGAGGAGTATTATCAGTGTTTCTCAGACTTCACATCTATCAGATAAACTCAGAGCACTGTTAAAACAGAAATTGCAGATATCTACTCCTAGGTTATCCAATCCAAGCATTCTGGGACAAGCCCAAGAAACTGCATATTTAAAATGTCCTAACTGAAGCTGATGTTGTTAGAATTGGCTTTGTGTAAAAGGAGATTCAAATGTGAGGAAGTCTTAGGAAAAGCTTTGGTCCACCTGGCAGGAAGAGCTCAGGAGAACATTGCTCACAAACAATATCCTTTTGAGCCAAAAGGATCAGGCTTTCCTATTCTCAAGATCCTCACCTTTCTCAGTCACTGGACTCAGGTTGCCTGTGAAAAACACAAATCTGAGGCCAGCTCACTGTAGGTGAGGCAGGCTCTGAAGGAAAGAGCTGGAGACTGTCTGCTGGCTTTCTTCTCCACTGTTGGGCAGTGAAACAGTTCCTTGATTAGGAGAACTTAGTGATAAACCTCCACGTCTACCAAAAATATTAAAATTAAGTTTCTTTATAAGGGACTGCTGTGAGATTTTAAAGCTTCAATTAAATTATTGTAGTATCAAATAGTCAGATAAAATATGAACAGTTCCCTAACCAATCATGGAAAGAAAAATAGGCTTATAAAATGAATGTGAAGTCTCTGTGTCCTCGTATTGTTCTGAAATAATTGCACAATAAATCTGTAAAACAAAGCTATTTTATAAAATACTATAGGATGCAATTAAGGATTTAGAACTCTTTTGAAGGATAAAGATGTAAAGTCCAGGTATAATGGATGCAATTTATGATTCAATTATACAAACTACTCACTTTCTTGGTTGGAAACATAAACCACATTTGAACTATGGTTGTTATAATTATGAATTCATATTGGAAAGAAAATATAAGTTTGTTGATGAATTAGAACATATTTCAATGTTAATATTAAGGTGAATTTAAACATACTGCATATTCATATTAATTTCTGAAATACACATATTTTAATGTATTGGAAATTTATGTTTATATATATATATAGTACTACAGAAATATTTCTTTTTCTGAAGGTTGCTACCATGAGATTCTATTTTGAGAAATGGGTCAGCTATTTTTTTCTTAAGATTTTATTTATTTATTTGAGTTAGAGTTTCATACAGAGAGAGGGAAAGACAGAAACTTATTCAAACCACTGGTTCACTTCCCAAATGGCAACAATGGCTGGAACTGGGCAGATCTGAAGCCAGCAGCCAGGAGCATATTCTAGGTCTCCCATGCAGGTGCAGGGACACAAGCACTTGGATCATCTGCTGCTTTCCCAGGGATACTAGCAAGGAGCTGGATCATAAGAAGAGCAGCCAGGACACAAACTGGTGACCGTATGAGATGCTGGTGCTGCAGGTGGAGGCTTAGCCATACCACAGCATGGGCCCCTGTCAGCTATTTCTTACAATTAGGTTCTTTTTTTTGTTTGTTTCATTTTGCAAATTTCATTACTTATGAATATACAACTCAGCTGCTGTCTTGAAGTGTAATTTTTCAGCTAGTGTTTGCGTCTCAATGAAAATTAGTGAAAATCTTGTGTAAATTTCAGAGTCAATTCTGATGGGAATAAATAAAGGGAAGAAAGCCTGAAATAATCATAAAATATTGGAAAATTTTCATTTTTTGTGACATACAATTGGAGGATTACAGTTTTTATTCTGATTCCTTAAGGATTTGGAGCAAATCTTCATCCCAAAATATATTTGGAAGAAAAGAGAACAAAACTGCTATACAGTTGCTAACCTGTAAGGGTTCTTTCTGTGAATAGTATACACTGCAGCACTGAATGAAGGAACCAAGTTGTTACAAATATTTTAATATTTATTAGGTCACATTTTACTTAAAGCATATATATATATATATATATTTGACAGGTAGAGTTATAGACAGTGAAAGAGAGAGACAGAGAGAAAGGTCTTCCTTCCGTTGATTCACTCCCCAAATGGCTGCTATGGCTGGTGCACGGCGCCGATCCGAAGCCAGGAGCCAGGTGCTTCCTCCTGGTCTCCCATGTGGGTGCAGGAGCCCAAGGACTTGGGCCATCCTCCACTGCCTTCCTGGGCCACAGCAGAGAGCTGGACTGGAAGAGGAGCAGCCGGGACTAGAACCGGCACCCATATGGGATGCCAGTGCTGCAGGCAGAGGATTAACCAAGTCAGCCATCGCGCCGGCCCTAAAGCATAGAATATATTAACATGACAATAATATTTTACAGTAAATGTTGTTCCAGGAATATTTTAAGTGCATTCTAATTCTACTGATATGTGTACATGTAAATAAGCTTTCATGTGTACTTTTTGTGTCTGTGTTCATATGGTCATGTATGAATGGTTTGAATGTGATTTTTTAAAATTTATTATTTATTTATTTATTTTTTGACAGGCAGAGTGAGAGAGTGAGACAGAGAGAAAGGTCTTCCTTTTGCCCTTGGTTCACCCTCCAATGGCCACCGCGGCCTGCACGCTGTGGTCGGCGCACTGCACTGATCCGATGGCAGGAGCCAGGTGCTTCTCCTGGTATCCCATGGGGTGCAGGGCCCAAGGACTTGGGCCATCCTCTACTGCACTCCCTGGCCACAGCAGAGAGCTGGCCTGGAAGAGGAGCAACCGGGACAGAATCCGGTGCCCCGACCGGGACTAGAACCCAGTGTGCCGGCGCCACAAGGTGGAGGATTACCCTAGTGAGCCACAGCGCCGGCCTTGAATGTGATGTTACAGTGAGTAGATACGGAAATGAGAGAAAGTGGGATGTGTCTATGCGAAGAGTTTATCATTTAAGTATTTTACATATTTATGTTTAATGTTGTCTCCTGTATTTATAATCCTCTGTAGGTCTGCATGCTTGTGCATGACTGCTTGCATGTACACATGTTTATAAAAGTGTGTAACATTAATACTTTGCTTAATTTTTTTAAAAGTTATAGTAACAAATCTTATGATAATATGCCTATCTTCATATTTATTTCAGTACTTAGGAATTTTTTTCTTTTATTCCATCTGGTTTGTTATAAGTAAAGTGTTTCTTAAACACTAGAAATTTGACTACATTTGGAAGCAGATATTTCAAATAGTTGAGAGAAATACAATAAATTTTCAAATGTTGTTTACAAACTA